AGGGAGGGAGGAAGGGAGGAAAGGAGGAAGAAGGGCAGGGAGGAAGGAAGGAAGAGAAAGAGGCAGTGGGGGAAGGAGGGAAGGAAGGATTACAATGACTATAACTTACTGAGTTGTTCTATTGTGGCCCGAAATAGGTTGTGTTTCTTCGGAATTACAAAACATTTCCTTTATTTATTTATTTATTTTTTTTTTTTTGAGGTGGAGTCTCGCTTGACACCCAGGCTGGAGTGCTGGAGTACAGTGGCGCGATCTCGGCTCACTGCAAGCTCTGCCTCCCGGGTTCACGCCATTCTCCTGGTTCATTCTCCCGAGTAGCTGGGACTACAGGCGCCCGCCACCACGCCCGGCTAATTTTTTGTGTTTTTAGTAGAGACGGGGTTTCACCGTGTTAGTCAGAATGGTCTCGACCTCCTGACCTCGTGATCCGCCCGTCTCGGCCTCCCAAAGTGCTGGGATTACAGGCGTGAGCCGCCGCGCCCGGCCAAAACATTTTCTTTGTGAATTCCTAGTGATTTAGAACTGCACTGCCCAGTACAGTAGCTACTTGCCACATGTGGCTATTGAGCCCTTGAGATATGGCTAGTCTATATGAAGATGTGCTGTAAGTGCAAAATGCATATCAGAATTCAAAGACTTAGAATGAAAAAAAGGACTGTAAAATACTTCATTAATAACATATTAATCACATGTTAAAATTATATTTTGAATATATTGGATTAAATAAAATATATTAAATGTAAAAAAGTAGTAGCCCTCATTTCTGGCATTATTTGCACTCATAGTTAACTGAGCAAAAGTGTTCAATAAGCTGGAGAGCCCTACTAGTCCACAAGCCCTAGGTGAACAGGGATCCTGGGAAGGAAGAATGTGGGTTAACTGGATGAGTGAATTAAGTAAATGTTGGTTAACATCAACTCTAAAGAAACAAGATAACATACTGTGTTATAAAGAAGTGCAGTTGATAAGGTACAAAGTAACACATTAGACAGATGACTATCTCCTGACAAGTGATTTGGTGAATATGGATACTTTGGTGGGGGCAGGAAAGAAAGTATGAACTTTGAAGTGGAGATTCAGAGATGGGTAATTGTGAATATTTATGGAGAACTGCGAGTGTGTAGCTTGCCTTGAGTAAAGGATTCATGCAATGGGGTAGAGTTAGCACTTACAGGCCAGGTGCGGTGGCTCATGCCTATAATCCCAGCACTTTGGGAGGCTGAGGTGGGTGGATCACTGGAGCTCAGGAGTTCAAGACCAGCCTGGGCAACATGGTGAAACTCTGCCTCTACCAAATATACAAAAATCAGCCAGGCATGATAACTCAGGCCTGTAGTTCCAGCTACCCAGGAGGCTGAGGTAGGAGGATCACTTGAGTCCAGGAGGCAGAGGTTGCAGTGAATTGAGATCTCGGCACTGCACTTCAACCTGGGCAACAGAGCGAGATCCCATATCAAAAAAACAAAAAAAAACAAGGAAATAAAAAGAGTTTGGTCATACACATATAAAATTAGTATATGTAGCTCAAGGGAATAATTATTTCATGTAAAATTTTCATATAAATTTACTTTACCAGGAGAAATGGGCCTAACACATGCTGGAGAATAATGAAAAGTTCTGAGTGCAAGCTTTGTAGACTCTCACAAGCAAGCATATAAATGGAAGAATATAGAAAATGATGCATTGGCCGGGCATGGTGGCTTACACCTGTAATCCCAACACTTTAGGAGGCCAAGGCTGGTGGATCATGAGGTCAGGAGTTCGAGACCAGCCTGGCCAATATAGTGAAACCCTGTCCCCACTAAAAATACAAAAATTAGCTGGGGGTGGTGGTGCATGCCTGTAATCCCAGCTGCTTGGGAGGCTGAAGCAGGAGAATCACTTGAACCAGGGAGGCGGAGGTTGCAGTGGGCCAAGATCACGCCACTGCACTCCAGCCTGGGCGACAAAGTGAGACTCTATATCAAAAAAAAAAGAGAAAAAGAAAATGATTCATTACATTTTGTTCTGGCTGAGCACTTTTATGTTCCTGTTATAACCTAGGTTTAATTTTTAAAACTTGTTATTAAGGCATAATGTAGATAAAGTACACATACCATTAATAGTAGAGCTTGATTTTTACAAACTGTGAACACATCCATGAAATCAGTACCTGGTGCAAGAAGTGGAGTATTGCAGCACTGAGAACCACCCCGTGCTCCTTCCAACCTACCACCAGGACCATCAGTATCCGACTTAACAACATGCATTAGCTCTGCCTGTTTTTGTACTTTTATATAAAGGGAATCACACCATGTAATCTTTTGTGCCCTATGCTTAAAGAATCAAACTAAACTTTGGATGACTGAACCCCAACTCAGCATTTCATTGTGAGTTTGGACAAGTCTCTTAACCCTGTTTCCACATCCGGAGAAGTGGATTATAACAATGTTTGCCTCATAGGGTATTGTGAGGATTAAGTGAGATAATGTATGTAGAAGTTTTAGCACAGTGGGTGGAGTGTGGCTGCAGCTGCCACACTGTACTCAAACTTATAGTCTGCAAACTTCTGAATATGAGAGAGGGAAAAAATCCATGTCATCTGGGCAGAGTCCAACTATTCCTTTATTCACAAATGAGCATCTACACATACAATAGGGAACTTGGCTATTTGATCCATCTCACTTTTGGCCAAAGGAGAAAAGATATTTCTGTTATACACTTATTCATCTCCCCTTCTAGAATAGCAGCTTCCTTAAGGGAAAGGTCATGCACTGTTTACCATAGTATATGCAGTGCCTAGCGCAGGGCATCGTAAGCACTTAGCTAAACTGAATAAACACGTAAGTACTAACAATATTAGGGCTTAGGACATTATGTTCAAATCTGCTCAAAACTTCTGAGCTTTGTTTGGCAAAATTACAGTAGTTAAATCAGAGTAAAGTGAATCTCCTGCTTTCTTTCCCTGTGCTGGCCAGGAAAATCCAATCAAACCTAGCACATTCTGTACTTGGAACTTGAGTTAAGCATACCAGGTCTGGAAACTTCAGAAATAAGGGCAGTACACACTACTACTTTTAATAGTATTTGCTCCAAACTCAACAGCTTTTGATGTACTTAGACCAACACGCCAACATGTTTTCAAAAACACTCTCTTCCTAGCACATCAGTCACAAGTATTTTCCAAGTGTACTTTATCTTGATTTTCTACTGATATATTTCACGTATTATTGACCATATCCATACTCATTAAAAAAACAAAAAAAGGCCAGGGTAAAGTGCAATGTTCCAACAGATTTCTACTTGGTTCAATTTATCATCTACTACTTAATTAAAAATAAATTTTCACTTCTCACCAAGTAGGAAGCACCTCTTCAAATACTATCATCAGTTTTACATTACGAATTAAAGGTCTGATTGGCTGCAAGCCTACCACTATAGAGATAAGTCAAGCAGGAAATTATACGGCTATAAAATGAATTGAAAGATTTTAAGAGCCTAATACAATTTATTGGCTATGAAGCAAAACTAGCTTCATGCAGATAACTAATAAATCAAAGCTATTTATAATTCATAGTATAAAAAAGTATGGTTAATATTCTGAGTCGTAACTAATTTTTTAAATTACTTAAATTTAACAATTGGCGAGATTTTTCTAAGCACCATGATAGACACAGAAATGAAGGAGTTATAAACAGCAATCACTACTCTTCAGAAATGTATAGTCTGGTGGGAAAGTTTTATGGAAGCACTAGGATAATCAGGAAATGACTCACAGACCCGTGCCTTGAAGGCTAAGATTTTAACAGGCTAGGGAGACAAAGAAAGGAAGTCATACAAAGGGGGCCCAGCGCGGTGGCTCACGCCTGTAATCCCAGCACTTTGGGAGGCTGAGGCGGACGGATCACTTGAGGTCAGGAGCTGGAGACCAGCCTGGCCAACATGGTGAAACCCCATCTCTACTAAAAACACAAAAATTAGCCGGGCATGGCGGTGCACACCTGTAATCCCAGCTACTGGTAGAATTGCTTGAACCTGGGAGGTGGAGGTTGCAGTGAGCCAAGACGGTGCCACTGCACTCCAGCCTGGGTGACAGAGCGAGACTCCCTCTCAAAAAAAAAGAAAAAAAAAGAAGTCATACAAAGAGGATATTACAAACACAGGCCTGGAGATGGGAGTGTGCACATGTGTTCCCAGGAGATCCAAGTCGCCAGTATGACTGAAAAATGAAGTTGGTCATGTCCAGGTTAGGGAGTGAAGGAGGAGAATTATTATTATTCAGGCAACAGAGAACTATGGAACGTCTGTTTTTTATATTTGTTTCTTTCTGTTTACATATAAGGAGAGAATGTGCCTAGTCCTCTCAGCAGTTTTATTTCATGCTATAAATTAATAGATTGGCATTATAATTTCATATATCAGTCATAAACTTGATGTAAGCCTTCTACTGAGAGGTAAACTCATTTTTAATGAGTTAATTCCCTCAGACTTCTGAGCCTACAAGGCTAAAGATAGAATCTAGATGGTGATGAATTTACTGAGGTAATATAATACCAAAGAGCCCTGCCTGGATGACCAGTGTGCCTTTCCCAGATGACACCCTTATGCCACTGTTCAATTTCTTGACATTTCTATAGAATGGAGACAGAGGCCATATGCAGGCTGAGAATTCACAGCTGACTTCAATGTGGGGGTGGATTACTCACTGGGTAAATGAAGGGAAGGCAATACCACTAAGTGACAGAACAAAGGAAGGGCAGGTCAAAGTTGGGAAAAAGGAAATCTGCTTTGAATATGTGTTTAAGGCGCCAACAGGAAGTGTCATGTGAAAGTATCTGAAAGGCAGCTGAAAATTTGGTTTTAAATGAGGCTCAATAAAGGGGCAATGTTGTATTTACTGGTAAAATCACCATTAAGAGAGTTCTAAGTGAGAAAAAAGGCCTAAGAACAGAATGTTAAGTCTCTAAGGATTCTATCAGTCCTTATAAAGCACAAAACCAAGTGAAATGAGCAATGCCAAGTCAGCTTGTACACAGATGCTTTATTTTGGATGTTAATATGTCGACATTGTATGCAAGATTCTCTTACAATGGAGTTTTCCATATATCACAAAACTCAATTTAGTCAGGGTAATTGCTGTATTAATGTGAAAACCTTACAATAAAATGCAGTATTATATATGTGTAGTCAGTTTCCATGCAAGTATGGCTGCTACATGTATGTCTGGCATTTGTATAACATGCTGAAAGAAACTCAGAGGAACAAAACATTATAAAGGTGACTTAAGATGCCTGACATGTTTAAGATTAAAAATCTTGCAAAAAGCAACAAAGCAGTTAACTGAAGGATTCAACCAATACCAACCCAAATATGTGTTATGTCCAATAAGCCCAGACTTATCCACAATATATTACCATTTAGGATAATTTAATGCTCAAGAAAAAATATGCTTTAAAAATATAGCTCTTATAAGATATTATACTTTGGTGATTGCAGACTATGTATATCCAGGTAAGGGCTACATTAAAAACAACAACAACAAAAAACTATTATGTGCTATTAGTTCAAGGTAACTGAAATGATCCAGTATGAGTTTGCTACAATCATTGGTTTCACTAAGTGAAATTTCTGTGAGAAGTTCATTAATTAGAAAGCAATCAACATACTTAAACATGCTAAGAAGATTCAAATTGGTTTATCTATTTATCAACAAGGCATAATCTTAGTACCATACATTTTCTTCACTTCTCACTATATATATATATGTGTGTGTGTGTGTGTATATATATATAAAAAATATGCAAAAACTAGCAAGTAGATTTAAATAGCTTAAAACCCTTTTAGGTCTACTGTTCAAGAGCTAAGCATTAAAATACTTAGTATTTCCATTTCTATTAACATACGAACAGAGCAGAAAATCTTAACCTGCTTTCATTTTGTTTTTTAAGGCATAGTAGTATTTTGGTATTTGTAAGAATTTGCCTGGTAATGGTTGATTCCATTTAGTTAACTTGAGAACTTGCCATCATTTGTTTTTTATCTTTTCACACAGTGCAAGTGGTGGTCGCTCTTTCCTTCTCTCGTAGCAGCAAGCCGATTCTGCTATTTTCTATAGCAGCATACTTCAGGAGTGGAGAGGGAGAGAGTGTGTCAATTATAAATAATTCAAACTACAGTGTACAATTCTATTTACCTGTCAGTGTTTAAGTTGACAGCACACCATTATATGACTGAAAAAAATTACATATAATCTCTACCACAAAAGCAAATAAAAAATCTTTCAAGAAGAAATAAAATAAGTGCAAACACCTAAAACAGGCAACTGAAGCAACTGTTGTAACCTGTAGAGAAACACAAAACATTTAAAAAAGGACAAAATATTTTTATAAATAAAAGATAATGTTCTCCACTTCTGAAACACTGAGTAAATACAAACTTCTAAGTGCAGACTGTTTTTAGGGACCAAGGTACCATATTATTTTTTAAACAAAATGCAAAAATTTCAAAAACATATACAAATCACCAGATTAATGTATATGACCATCCCCGATATAATTTAAAAAGAAAGTATTAAATTATTATTTAGTACATTTTTAGAACTACTTTATAACCAACATGATTTAAAGGGCATAGTGCAACATTTAGGTAGATGTGACATATAGTAGAGATATTGTATTCTTTGCAGCTATAACTTACTATTGTTTCATACTTAAAGTCAAAATTTTTCTTTACTGTGTTAGCTGTAATAACAGGAAACAACATTGGCTTCTAGGCACCCTGTATACGTATAAATATCTACATTTAAGCTTTAAAAATAAAAATAAATTATAAAAAACCGACTTCTTTCCAATTTACAAAGTCCTCCTGCTCCTACATACTGTACAATACATTCAACAAAATTCTCAGCTCTTCTGAGATTAAGAAAATACTATTTACTAATAAAGAAAAAACTCTTTTTTGAATGCTTTTTGTTTTCAGTACTATGCTCAAATAAATACATTTAACACTGTAGTTAATTTTACCGCTTCTGAAAAAAAAAAAAAATTAGTAGTGCAACTTTCTAGCCTTCCTTTAAATTCCTTTTCAATGTGTTTCTTTGTAAATGGTAGCCTAAGTAGATCAGCACGTGGGCAAAAGTACTTCATAAAATCGTGTGCTTTCCATACATAGACTAATTTCAGAAATCATATCTACTCTTACACCTATCTATAACAAAACTGCAGCATCAAGAGAGTAGCAACATATATCTTGTGAAGAAAATATGAGAATTTACTTTTAGAAATCCATGAACATTCTATTATTTTCCCATCTTGTTCTTTAAAAACAATTTTTAAAAATCTCATCTCTTAAAAAATAAACTATGAAACTGTCTACCCCTTAAGTGACTTACTAGCTTTCTGCCTACTATGTAGAATAGAAAAAAGATGCTGTATTAAAAGGGCTATCTTACAACTTTAAAAACAACTAATTGAGAAAAATTTCACTGCAACCTAATTTAGTAGAGATTGCAGTAAGGGAGGGGGGCATTTCATCAATTTTAATAATAATTACAGTATGAGAGCTCTTGAAGTACTACTGGTAGCTGTGTAAGTACTCAGATATCTTCTTGCTTGTTCAGTCATAATAAGTTGGTCTTCTGTCTTCCCATAAACCACTGTTTCCCATTCACAATTTGACTAGAAAGGAAATATTAATAGTGATGTGAAAAGTATTAAAATAACTATCCATATTATATCACAATTAGACTCTTAAAGTCAGTTATTTAAACTGATTAGATATTTCATAAGCAATAATTATAAAAATGTTTTAACAATGGCATTGTATTTTTTAATAATAATGTTTTTAAATATATACTGAAATATTTTTGATCAAGTTTTTAAAAAGTCAATTATTTTAGCTATCTATATTGCTTACAGGCCTATGGAGGCAGTTTAGAAGTCTTGTCCCCAACAATTCCCCCCAAATCAAATGAGTCTTAACATGGAAATAAATGTTAGTCATTACTGCTTCAAAATTTTGCAAAGGGTTTAAAGAGAGGATGTAATGTCAAAAAATGAGCCAAGAATGCTTTATTTACAAATTAGGAAATATATTCATAGCAAAAAATCAAGTTTATGTTTTTTTCTTCCCTTATTATAAAGATTACTATGTTATAGACGTGATCTTCTATATAATAACTTTCCCCAAAAGTTCTATGTTAATTAAACGCTGGGAACTCAAATCATTTTACATGGATTAAGAGAATGTGCTACACGGCTCTTAGAAAGCAGCGGCTGAAAACAGATGTAAGGTGGTCATATGTGATTGCCAAAGATGTTTTCAAGGTATGCTTTAACATCAGGAATACTAATGCTGCAGTCACTGTGGCATAAAGAAGAAAATTTCCTACTCAATGAACTCTCAAATTCTCTGGGGTAAACTCTTAACGCAGTAAAAATTTTCCCAACCACAGTTACACACTGGCCACATCCCAACAGAAAAAAAAGGACCTTGTTTTACAACTTCTGAGCCAAAATGTTCACTGGAAACCATGGTACCAACAAAATCATGCTGAAACAGCTTCTAACCACTTACCCTTTTTCAGAATAGCAATTAGGGCTATACATATTTGTTACAGGAGAAGAGGTGCCAGAAGTAGATTTATACATCTTTAGTTTAAAAAAGATACAGTGCTGAGGAAATCACCAGATGACTCTTTGGTTACAGCTCCAATTGTTTAGTTTATATGTGCCCTGATGAATGAGTCTCTCAAACCCAAATGTGAATGACAAAATAATGGTAAATGTTTACTGTTACAATCAATTTTGAATTTAAAAGAAAAAGTATAATTTGTGATCAGTAAATCCAAAGTGATCATTGATTAAACAAAAACAAAAATCACTAAAGAAATTTATAAATCCATACCTGAAGATTCTTTTCCAATTTGACAACTTTGGAAGTGTTAGGGTTTGGTTTCTTTTTAGTAAGTGTGTATGTTTTGTTGGTTGAATTTGTATCTTGTTTTTCAGGAATCAAGTTGCACCTATTGTCATGTATTTCCAATAATGGTATCATTAATAAGGATGTAGTAAATATATTTTCTGACTAAGAGAGAAAAAAGAAAGAGGAAAATAACTAATTCAAAAATGGAGACAAATGGAGGTACTACTGAGTAAGTGGTAATGGAAGCCCTGTTTATTTCTCTCCAAGAAAGAATTTGGCTCTGCTGAAATTTCTAGCAATGTAGTAATATTAAGTATTTTGGAAATGAACCAAAGATAAACTCTGATATTTAAAATCTTGAGAACTACAATTTTTTGACATCATATATAAGGCAGCTGACTCCTCTCATAACAAAAGAAATTTTAAAAAAGTAAATAAAATATTCTCTACAGTGAATAGTTTCTCTGTGAATTAGGCAAAATGATACTAAAATAAAAATCCTCCATGAATCTCTAATGAACTGGCTACACAATGAGTAAGAAATAAGAACCACTAGGACTTAAAGCAACCATTTAAAATAACAATAATAATAATCCTTTACAAACCTGCATGTCTGAAATGTCTTCAGTCAACAGTTGAGTGCCTGATTCTTCTTTTTCCCAATTATCTAAGACTAGTGATTTTCTGACTTTCTTCCCAGAAGCGGTATTCTAAAATGAGTAATTTGTTGTAGAAGCTTTATGGCAAAGTCTCTTGGATACAATAAGACTTTTATTAACAATAATACTAGAAGATTACCTCTTGTTTGCAGCTTTTGTAGGCAGGTTCATCTTCCTCTTTGAGGAATAGGTCTGTTCCAGTTTCTTCTTTTAAAACTTCCCGAATATCTTCTTCCAAGAAGGCAAGTGGCTGGGACTAAATTGTTTTTTAAAATGTTGTAAAAAGTCATTTATAGCAATTCCTTTTTCTCCCTATATATAGGAAACCCATCTTTTATACTTTCCCATTATTGTCATAATTTTCTCCTAGGCCCTATAGATATATTAATTAAATTAATCCATTTTATAGCAAAACAATATTACACATTTGCAAGTACTGAGTAAAGAATGGCAATTTCTTCTTTCTAGGCTACTAAACAAAAATCTTCCTTTTGGGGAAACCACTGTAGCCCCTGCTTCAGGTCAGGATCTTCAGAATTAAACAGAAAAGAAAGATGTTATTTCTCAAGTATTTTTTTTACATAAAAATAAGAAATACAGAACATATTGGAAATACACTAGCTCTTATTCTACTTTTATTGTATTTATTACACGGTATGTAATTACTAGTTAACATGTTTCTGTTACCACTAAGATTGTGAGATACTTGACAGCAGTGATCAGGTCGTTTTATACCTAGCCTAAGCATCCTTGTATACCTAGATATGAGATCCTTGTATATATAAGATATAAGATCCTTGTATACCTAGCCTAAGCAAAGAGCTGACACAGTATCCAAGAAAAGGGAGAGAGTGAGTGTGTGTGTGCACGTGTGTGTAGTGTGGGAGGGTAGGTTATGAAGAGACAGACAATTGAGTGTGAGCTAAGTGATGAAATAGTCTCAAAATATTATTCATCTAGCTTTCTGTCAAATAGGTAAGCACAACTTATAACCCAGAAAAAAATTTTAAAATTCTATCTAACTTATACCTATCATAACCAAGATATACTTGAAAAGGTAATCAAACCTCTACTAAATAAAAGAACTGGCAGCACTTAATAACCAGCAGCTGCCCGGTATGGTGGCTCACACCTGTAATCCCAACACTTTGGGAGGCAGAGGTGGGCGGATCACGAGGTCAAGAGATCGAAACTCCATCCCTACTAAAAACACAAAAATTAGCCGGGGGTGGTGATGCGCACCCCAGGAGGCTGAGGCAGGAGAATTGCTTGAACCCAGGAGGCAGAGGTTGCAGAGAGCCGAGATCACACCACTGGATTCCAGCCTGGGTGACAGAGCCAGACTCCATCTCAAAAAAACAAACAAACAAACAAAAACAAACAAAAATCAAAAAAACACCAGCAGCTTATGTCCCCAGCCAGCAAAGTTAGAGAGAATAGTATTCATATATAAATGAGATTTCACAGAACTTACAAAAACTTTCAAAATGAAAATAAAATGTTAAAAGTGTTCTCATCTAGACTGAGACATACAGGAATTATGTTAATGTTTCTGTATACTTCTCAAAGAGCTTATTATTATTATTATTATTATTTACTTATTTATTGAGATGGAATCTTGCTCTGTCACCCAGGCTGGAGTGCAATAGCACAATCTCAGTTCACTGCAACCTCCACACCCCCCGACCCCCCGGTTCAACCAATTCTCCTGCCTCAGCCTCCCACGTAGCTGGGATTGTAGGCATCTGCCACGATGCCTGGCTAATTTTTTGTATTTTTACTAGAGACGGGGGTTTCACCATGTTGGCCAGGCTGGTCTCGAACTCCTGACCTCAGGAGGTAATCTGCCCACCTCAACCTCCCAAAGTGCTGGGATTACAGGTGTGAGCCACCACACCCGGCCTCAAAGAGCTTTTTAATGATGATATTTCACCAAGAACATAAAGTATTCTTTTTTCAAATTAACTTTTAAGTTCAGGGGTCCAAGTACAAGTTTGTTACACAGGTAAACATGGGGGGTTGTTGTGTAGGTTATTTCATCACCTAGCCAGGCGCAGTGGCTCACGCCTGTAATCCCAGCACTTTGGGAGGCCAAACCAGGCAGATCACGAGGTTAGGAGTTCAAGACCAGCCTGGCTAACATGGTGAAACCCTGTCTCTACTAGAAATACAAAAATTAGCCAGGGTGGTGGAGGGCACCTGTAATCCCAGCTACTTTGGAAGCTAAGGCAGAAGAATCGCTTGAAACTGGAAGGCAGAGGTTGCAGTGAGCCGAGATCACACCACCGCACTCTAGCCTGGGCAACGAGAGTGAAACTCTGTCTCAAAACAAAACAAAACAAAACAAAAACAAAAACAAAGATTATTTCATCACCCAAGTATTAAGCCTAGTACCCATTAGTTATTTTTCCTGATCTTCTATCTTCCCACCTTCCACTCTCTGAAAGGCCCCAGTGTGTGTTGTTCCTCTCTAAATGTCCACATGTTCCCATCATTTAGCTCCCATTTATAAATAAGAACATGCAGTATTTGGTTTTCTATTCCTATGTTGGTTTGCTGAGGATAATGGCTTCCAGCTCTATCCATGTGCTTGCAAAGGACATGACCTCATTCTTTTTTATGGCTGCATAGTAGTCCATGGCGTATTTGTACCACATTTTCTTTCTTTTTTTTTTTCCCTCAATTTTTTTTGAGATGGGGTCTCACTCTGTCACCGAGGCTAGAGTGCAGTGGCATAATATCAGCTCACTGCAACCTCTACCTCCCAGGGTCAAGTGATCCTCCCACCTCAGTCTCCCAAGTAGCTAGGGCCACAGGTGCACACCACCATGCCCAGCTAATTTTTTGTATTTTTGTTAGAGATGGGGTTTCACCATGTTGTCCAGGCTGGTCTTGAACTCCTGAGCTCAAATGATCTGCCTGTCTTGATCCCCCAAAATGCTGGGATTACAGGCATGAGCCACTGCATCCAGCCCACATTTTCTTGATCTAATATAGTATTCTTAAAAAGATCTGGAGTTTTTTCTCCCTTTAAGAATATAAATGTCCTAGAATAGGGCTAAGACAGATTAATTCATTCACTAGGAAGAATCATTCTCTTAATTGCTCTAATGTGTCAAAAGCAAAGAACTCCTCCATTTAATACTTTTCAGGTTTGATACTACCAAACTTAATACTTCTACAGAGTTTTTAGCCTTTTGAGTAATTCATAGTAAATATTAAAACAATCAAAGTTTATTAAAAAGGCAACAGATATTTAAGATATACCTGATTAAAATTCCAAAGCCAATCTCCAAGAAGTGCATTTGACTCATAGTAAGATACAAAAGAAAGCTAAGTGGTTAGCATATAGTAGATGCTCAGTAAATAACTAGAGGAGGAGGAGGAGGAGGAGGAGGAGAAATGAGAAGTCAACTTACTGCAAAGAAATATATGAGCCTATAAATATTCTAGGAATTTTAATTTCTAAATCATTGCCTTCCTTTTATCTTAAATTGCTGATGCAAGTAATCTGTTTTGGCAATGGTCAAATTCTATCCAAAGAGCTGTGAGTGCTGCTGGTATTAAATTTAAAATGTCAGAAGGCTAGTAAACAAACTGACAAGGAATTTAGGTATTTGAAACCTATTACAAATGATACTTTTGTTTTTGTTTTTGTTTTTCAAACAGAGCTGCACTCTGTCCCTTAGGCTGGATTGCAGTGGCTTGATCACCACGCACTGTAGCCTCCACTTCCCAGGCTCAAACAAACCTCCTGGGACTACTACAAGAGCATTCTACCACACCCAGCTATCAAATGATAATTTTTATTCCACTTATATGTTGACCAAATGACCCTGACTCACTGTAGAATTTTTAAATGCTTTCAAATCATTGTTTACTTGTCTAATCCCCAATTAGTTTACATGCCCCTATGAAGGCAGGAACCATACTTGACCTTTTCAACATTTATTCCATCCCTAAAGCCTAGTGCAGTGCCTGGAACCTATTAGGCACTCAATCAATATTTCCTGAATTAATGATGAATTTTTAAAATAAACAGCAAAACACTGAAACAGACAGGCTAAATCAATCAGGTAATTCCACACAATGGAATATTATGCAAACATTAAAAATTATGGGATAAATATATACATTTACTTGGTTAAATTAAAAAATGGTGTTATAAAATAATAAAGTGTGGTCATACTCTTGTTTTATTTATGTATATGCATAAATAAAAACTCCAGGAAGCTCTAAAGGAAACATGATTGTTCACAGCAGTACATGGAGCTAAATGACAAAAAGACTCGATCAACCCTACTATGTACCCTTTAACACAGTATTTTGAAAAAGAAAGAAAAGACTAGTAGATGTGTGTGTGTAACATGCTTTTGGGCAGAAAATTAATTAGAATTAATTAATTAAAAAAATTAATTCTAATTAACTAGAATTTGCTAACGAATCTAACCAAAAAGTGACTAAAAATAGAAGAACATAACTAAAAAACCCTGAAAGTCACCAATATTTTAAAAATCATATTTCTAAAGAACTTGTCAGAAATCTGTAACTGCCTAAAATGCCCATCACTTTTCCAAGGTATTTCAAAGGCAGTAAGATATATGAAAGCACAGTTAACTAGAACACTTCCCAGTCCTATTCATTCGTGAACTACTACCGCAAATATTATTATTAGAATAACAGCAGCAACCAAGCACACACTACTTGAAACTCAGACAAGCTCTTTTAATTACATCAACTCTTTCAGCTTCACAGTAACAATTTGGGGTGTGTTTTATGATCTCCTTTGCATAGAAAAGGAAACTGAGCCTTTTCCTAATTAGTTTCCTAAAGAAGTACCCTGATTAGTTTCCTAAATATTATCATGAAAGTGCTTCAGTATATTAAAATTATTTTATTCTAATACATGTAACCATGACTGAAACTACTAAAATGTAAATTTCAGTATTAAGAAAAGCGTTTTGGCCGGCCACAGCAGCTCACTCCTGTAATCCCAGCACTTTGGGAGGCCAAGGCGGGCGGATCATGAGGTCAAGAGATCAAGACTATCCTGGCCAACATGGTG